ATAATAATAATAATAATAATAATAATAATAATAATAATAATAATAATCACCTAAAATTTATTTAAATGTTAAAACATTTCATTTTTTTTAAATTTCGTGTAGGTTTTAAAAATCCCGCTTAAATTTTAAAAATTTCGCCTAAGTTTTAAATTTTTTAAAAATCCCGCATAAATTTAAAAATTCCAGCCAATGGCTGGCGAGCCGGCTCGAGCTCGTTTACAGTGAGACGAGCTAGAGTTCGAGCTCGACTCGAGCTCGCTTTCCATCTAACAAGCCGAGCTCGATAAGGGTCTTAACTCGACTCGTTTACACCCCTATTTCTGTCATATGCATATGCAAGTACTGTAAGCAAAAAAATACATCCAACTATCTGTGGTGTTTTTCCTGAATCCAATCCTATTTTTAGTAATGAGTCATATCAAAAGTCATTTATGTCAGGTAGCTTTCATATCAGAAGTCATCATTTTCTGCACATTGTCATATTATATCATATCAAACCGTCTCCTTATGTCTCTATTTAGTATTTTCATATCATTTAAGATTATACCACAAATCTTATTTGAAAGGAAAGCTCGTCAGCCCATCCTCTTGTATAAGTTAATATGTCTCCAACCAACATGAACATGTTAATTATTTATGGTTAACTTTTCTTGCATACACACATTTCATAACATATATATAACATAATAAACATCTAATAACACACTCAATGCTCAGTTCAATGTATCATCTTAATACATGTAAAATTTGCATATAAACCAAAATTAATAAAATTCATAAGAAAATGTAATGTTCTATTTTTCATATGCATGTATCCACAATAACTATATTATAACAAGTATAAATGTCATATATGCATATAAAAAGATTTTAACAATTATTTCTCAAATTTTTAAATTTATTCAAATCGCCCAAATTAAAATATTTACCCAAAAACAAAAATATCTTATGAAAATTTAATATATTCCAGTCAAAATGCTCATATTGATGATATCTATCATATACCAAAAGTTATATGGTGAAAGTTTGCTAAAAATTAAGATATCGTAATTTTTGTACATTATGACCAAATTAAAATTCATTAAATACAAAATACACAAAACCATTAAAATCAGAGGCAAGGTAATGATATCCTACATCGAGCGAACAATTTTTCCAACATGGCCAACAGGCAAAAATCGCTTTACAACATCCAAATCCTAGGTTCTTTTTTCTCTCTCCTCTCTTCTTTTTGATTTTTTGGTTTTTTACTCTCTGTTAAAAACGAAATGAGTGAAATGACATTTGGATAAGTTATATAAATGGATTTATATTTTTTAATAAAATAATATAGTGTACTTTGGTAATTATGATAATTGTTTAGTTTTTAATATAAAGTTCTTTTATATTTTCAAATCGAGAGCTCCAAAAATTATAGAAAAATATTTATAAAATAATCTAGCATATCTAAAATGATTTGGTGAAATCTATTTGCAAAACGAACACCTAATGGTTTCACAATCCCCACTTTCCGGCTAATATTAATTTTCTACACTATCCCTAAAATTAGGAGAACTTTATTATAATTAAAATACAATAGTATCTATACTATGACGAAGACGATTTGCAAATATGACTTATAATGACTCTTGAAATATTATTTGACTAGATAAAAATATGATTATTACATTCTGATCGTCCTGTATTCTTATTTCCTTTATTGTTCATGATAAAGCTACACTAGATTTTGATTATCATAAAGATGCCTTCTTTATTATGCTGGCCAATCATCCAAACTTAACCATGTAGCTCAATACGTTGATTCTCTTGTATATGTATGAATATTGTGCAGTATTATAACTCTAAGAAGGTTCTTGGTTCTTTTTTCTACTTGAGAATTCTAACAGTAATTTTGTACAGTTCGTGGTATTTTTTGTTGAGGGGAACATGGCTTCAGAGTTTCTAACTTTACCTTCTGCCCATGCAATTTGCTTATTAGTTATAGAGAAACTTTATATTGGTCCATGCAGTTGCTATCTTCTTACCCCTCTGTCTATAATTTTTCAGGTTAAATTGACAATAATGATTGAGGATCCTAGAGATATAGAACGGAAGAGATTGCTTGGTATTGCAGACCTTGATGAGGTTACTAGGGATGACTTGGCTTCTGCTTTGGAAGATGTATGTTCTTCAGTGCCAACAGATGCATTAGTTTTATTCTTTCTTGATTAAGCTGCCCTTCTATCGATGGTTTCTGTTATAAACCATTATACAATAATGTTTTGAGAAATGACCAACGCATATATTGCTGTCAACATGGCCGACTGATTACTCCAACCATATGGAAATCCCTTGAATCATTAACTCTTTACTTGCTCAGTTCTTACTCTTTTCCCTTCCTTGTCTCTCTTATTAATAGCGACAGCCACCTCTACCAATCAAGTGGAGCAGTCAATACATTCACCTCACAACTGAACCATTTGATCAAAACAAACAAAACTAATCTCTACCTTACTCTTGTAAAGGAGCAGCACCTTTTTCTGAACAAATGTAGCACTTTACTTTGTAACTAGCTTTATATATACACTCATACAGAAATACATTATGAATTTTCACTGCTCAAATTAATGAGTCGTCTCTGATATTTCCTAAGTAACTGTTTGCTGTAATACTATCATCTTCCTAAGATTTCAGCAATAGAATTCAAGTTTCTTGATGGCATCAGAGCTACTACCTAACAGCAACAGCTCACAAATATGGACCAATCATTCTTGTCTCAGCTAGGTGACAAAAATTCTAAACCCCACATTCCACTGTCGCTCAAATTTGTTATCTCTGATATCAAAATTATTGTTCCCACTCAACTTTCAAATGACAATTATTATGGAAATCCCAAGTTCTCAAACCTTTTAGTGCCAATGGCTTTCTCCGACTTCCTCGATGTACCTCCAAAACTCACCCAAACTTTTGCACGCCTCCGAAAATCCCTCCAATCCTAATCCCGCCTACAATCAATGGATCCTCATTGATCACAATCTAGTTGCGGCTCTTTGCTCGACACTTTACTGTAGTTGTACTTCCCTATGTGCTACATCTTCCGATTGCGATATATGGTCTACGATAGAATGTTGTCTCCAATCCCCAATATATCCCGCACCATTCAGCTCAAGAAAGGACTTCACAACTTCTCCATAAAGACCTCATCTGTGACTCAATATCTTAATGACATCAAAATGCTTGTGGACAACATATCAGCTGTTGGTTCCACTATAGATCCTGAAGACATTATTCCTTACACCCTCAACGGTCTTCCACCTCAATCCCAAGCCTTTAAAACATCCATGATGTAGAACGGGTAGGAGGGCTTTGCAAGGGAGAGAATCTCTTCTCCAAAATCTGAAGTAAATTTTGATTTCTTTGCCCAAAACCTGAGAAGATCTCAGATTTTCTCTTGGTAGGAGAGAGGTTGCAAGCTCCAAAATTTGTGAACAATTTCAGCTTTTGTTTCCCAAAAACCTGTGAGAATTCAATGCTTCTTGGGGGAGGTGGGGCTTTGAATGTTTCGGCCAACAGCAGGAAGCTGAGGGAATTCAAACAACAGCAGCAATCAGGATTTGGAAAACTTTCCAAAGAAATAAGCTGCACTTACGGATGGGTTTCAAAGCAGTTTAATAAAGGAGAGGGGGGCGGCTGTGTAAGGAGTAGGCGGTGGATTTGTTTCTTGAGGAAATTCGAAATAATACCAAGCAAAACAATTAAGGAGGCGGCGGCTGAATTGTGGCCAGATTTTGGAATTATTTCCAATTCAGGAGGTGAAAATAAGTGGACAGAATTGACGTTACCTCTTGGAGAATTGGCTCAGAGAAAAGCTTGAATTGTTTCCAAGAAAAGGAGGTAGCATTAGGAAACTAATTTAATTTTAATCCCATGAGGGGGCCGGCTGCTTGTGTAGGGAAAGAGGGGTTTAATGAGGTGATTTAAAGCTCTCATATTTGAATTTAAAATTCAATTGAATTTAGAATTCAAATGAATTTAAATTAAGAAGGAATTAATAGAATTTGATTAATGTTAAGGAATTAAGGAAAGAAATAATTAAATCCTTTTTGAATTTGAAATTCAAATAGGATTTAAAAATGGAAACTTTTTCAAAGAGTAGTTATGTAGCAATTAGGAAATAACTCCTAATTGGCTCATAAAGGGGCCGACGGCTTGCATGAATAAGGGGAGCATTGAATGTTGTGATTGAGGGCTTCTAAACTTAATTTTAGGAATTAGGAAAGTAATGAAATAAATCCAATTTGAGTTTCAAATTCAAATTGATTTACATTAAATACTTTCCTAAAATAGGCGAACTTAAATTAGGAAATAAATTTTGAATTTCAAATTAAGTCCAAATGTCATTCACCCCAAATTAGGAAACTCAAGAAGGAAGGGGGAAAGGTGAGGCCAGCGGCTAGGGAGCCATGGCCGGCGGTTTGGACGGGTGTGGTTGGTGGTGGGGATGGCCGGAAGGAGGGGAACGGTGAAGAGGATGAAAATAAAGACTAAGATATTACTACGAGGAGCAATAAGAAGGAACGACACAAAAACAAAGATAGAAGATAAAAACCGCGAGCCTTTGACTCTTCCAAAGATTGACGGGTGATGCTTTGCCCTTCTCCAAGGGACTTCAAGTCACGAGCCCGGACCCATCCTGCGACTGGTGAAACTCCGATTCCTTCCCATAGGAATCTCACTATCGTCATCTTCACAAGAACACAAGTGTTGAACACAAATTTTAATATGAATAATCCATCCCTATTACAATAGCTTAAGGCTATATATATAGGCCACGACATAAGAAAAGTCCAAAACACAAAATTTTCCCCTTGGGCCACAACACTCACATAAACCTAGGGGTAAAACAGGAAATACATCAAATAAAAAACTAAAATTCAAAAAAATAACTCATAATTGAAGATTTAAATTATAGCCGTCAATTTACGACGCCTCCTATGATAGATTCGCCAAATCTTCGTACCGATGTCCGCATCAATCCATCAGAGTAAAACTCACACCAATCAACCTCAAAGACCTATGCTCCTTTCCTTTTAGTGAAGAAATAAATATTGCAAATGAATCCGCCAAGAACAACCATCTCCCAATCCTCATTCTGCACTCTACATAACTCGTGGAAGACCTTCTCGTAGCTGCAATCAGTTTTCTCTAGATCTTTCATCCAGTGACTTCCTCAACACAAGAGGAGGGTGTCCATTTGCAACTCCTCTGATTTTTCAAATTTGTGATAAATGTGGTAACTTTGCGATCAACTGTTGGCATCGCCTGAACATCAACTACACCCCACACCTTCTTTGCATCCTAAAAAAGCAGTGTTGGCTACCTTTTCTTCTTAACCCCACATAATAGTTTATTTACTCTGGTGCTTCATCTCATCTTACTCCACACATTGACAATCTACTTCAACCCACAAATCATCGTCGGCAACAGAGGCTCCGTTCCAATTTCTTAGGCTAGCAACAGATTGCTACCTAACCCTCATCGTAAGCTCTACCTTCGTCAACTTTTTCATGTTCCCGACAATCTCATAATGTTCTATTCGTCTCTAACCTCACCACTAAAAATAATGTTTTGATTTCCTTTGATGCTTCAGATTATAAAATCAAGGACATGACGACGAACCGTCTTCTTCACAAGGGTCCATCTCGTAATGTTCTCTACCCCGTTCATCTTCCTTCATCACAAACTAGTTACTTCATCCTTGTTGCCTCCAAGGAATCCAATCTTCTTTGGCATCACCATCTCGATCATCCACATCACAAAGCAGCGGCTATTATCTTCAAATAAAACAACCAGCTCAACATTCATGCAACTTTTTCATTTTGTTCTTCTTGCAATTCCTCAAACGGCCAGAGTGTTCCTTTTACTTCTTCTAGTAATCACAATTGTAAACCATTGGAATTACTGTACTCTGATGTATAGTCTCCTTTCTAGATTACTTCTATTCAAGGTTATGAATATTACTCTCTTTTTATTGATGATTACTCTTGATATGTGTGGATCTTTCCTATGCAATTGAAGTTTGAAGTTACATCTATCTTCATAACATTCAATGCATTTATTGAAAATCAATACCTTACAAAATAAAATGCCTAAGAATAGATTCTGGTACAAAATTCTATCAATCACAATCTTTGCACATTCTATCAATCATAATCTTTGCACATTCTGTCAATCCAATGATATTTTACGCTAAGCTAGTTGTCCTTACACACCTGAACATAATGGACTAGTTGAGCATAACACAAGCATATTATTGAAACTACCAGAACTCTCCTACATGCTGTTCATCTCCAATATCATTGCTGGACAGATACCTTTGTAACTGCAGTTTATCTCATTAATCGTTTGCCTTCTCCCATCACCAAAAACCAGTCACCATATCAAATTCTTTTTAAAAATAAACCACAATACTCCCAACTTTGTATCTTTGAGTGCACATTTTTTTCATGGCGGCCTCCATCACATGAACACAAATTAGTTCCTCAATGCATACTTTGTATCTTTCATGGCTACTCAGATACCCCCACAAAGGCTACAAATGCCTCAACCCCTGCACCAGCCACATTATCATCTCTTGCCATGTCCAGTTTGATGAATCAAAATTGCAATATCAGCAACAACACTTTCACAATTTCCCCACTCCAGATCCCACTTCAACCCGTACCTTCTCACTCCAACATCCCACTCCACTTCTCAATTTCCACCTCCACATACTTCCTCCCAAATCCATAGTTACCAACCGCCAGTTAATCCAAACACCAGCTCACTCCCAGAAATCTAGATCTCTCTTCTAGCACTGGTTAGTCCGATACTTTCCACCTCTAGAGTCTAGCCATATAGCTCCTCACACTCCATCACCCCCAGGTCACTCCTTGGTCACCATAATCAAATTGGGCTCTCTCAAACCTTGTCTATTACTAAATCTTCTAGACCACTCCTCATTTGCTAAAGCAAACAAACACTAATATTGCAGACAAGCCATGGCAGCTGAATTTCTTGCACCACCTGGCAGCTTGTACATTCTACCCCCTATCACATCATCCTCGACTACAGGTAGACCTACTGAATCAAAAGACATGTTGATGGCTTCGTGTCACGATACAAAACTCGTCTTGTGGCAC